ATGATGAGAACACAGCTCAAGTGTTACAGTTTTACAAATTGTTTATAATAATCCTAAGACTTCCCTAAGGCAACTTCAGTCCGAGTCTAATATTTCTACATCTTGCCGCAGAATTTTGAAAGACAATCGCTATTTCCCCTATAAAATTCACCTCGTCCAACATTTAAGAACTGGTGATGAGCAACGGAGATTAGATTTTGTAGCTCAATTATCAGTGATCTATGAAGAAAACAATAATTTAGGTACTTAATAATATCTTATGGAATGATGAAAGTAGATTTCACAATAACGATATGGTAATACGCCACAATTGCCGCTATTGGTTTGACAATAATCCAAGAGTAATGCACCAAACCCGAAATCAATATGTTTTTTCTGTGAATGTTTTGTGCGGCATTTTGAATAGCTATTTAATTGGACCATATCTTTACCACGGAACAACAACAGGTAACCGTTATTTACATTTTCTAGGAAACGAACTGCAACAGGATGGGGCCGGGGTGCCCCATCCTGTTAAATAGTTAAATCAGAGGTTTCCGGAAAAGTGGTTAGGTACTAACGGAGTTATAAAGTGTCCGGCTCGTTCATCAGATTTGACTCCATTGGATTTTTTCCTATGGGATGATTTAAAAAACATTGTATACCGGAATCCTATAATAGAAGACATGGCAGATTTGTATAATAAAATTTATGCAGCTACGGCGGCTTTAGATCGTGACATTTTATTAAGAGCCTTTAATGTCGAACTAACGAGAAGACTAAGATTTAGTATAATTCTTGTTTTAACTTCAGTAACTACACCTACATCTCCGTTATTAATTTAAGTACTTTCTGTTACTTTCTCTGTAATTGATCATTTGTTTTTTTATAATTTATTGTTTATTAATTAGTATGTGGTGTGAATAAAGTCATTATAAAAATATTTTAAAAGAATATTTTGTCTCAGTGTGATTTAAATAAAATAATAGATTTTCCTATTACATCATACATTGCATATTAAAGTCGACATATCTCGAAAACAAGTAAATATAGGGAAAAACTTTATATTACAAAAATTACTCAAAATTTAACGATCTTTCAGATGGAGTGCATTTCCACATTCCAGGGATCAAAAAATTTTTTGTATCGCCACGCCATCTATACAGAAAGATTTGAACTAACAATTCTAACTGCAATTTGAAGCTATTGGAGGGACCTAACAACCCCAGTTTCCGGAACTAAAATAAATATCTTCATTTCGGAGATATTGGCAGCGGGAGTCTTAAATGGCACACCCTGTATAATATGAAAGGTGTCGGAATAAATTTGATACTAACGTGTTTTAAATATTCTATGCATAAAACTGATGTTATAAATTATTTTGTTGGTATAATGCCCATGTGTCGAAGTTTTTAATACTAAAAAGAGATCACAAAACCGTCGTAACAAACTCGGTACTGCTTAAAACTAATTTTAAAATATATCTATTTTATCATTTCCTTGCAACACCATAAACGACGATTATGAGAATGTGTATTCGGAAATATCAGTTAAACAACAACAACAATAATCTAAAGAAACACATTCGCCGAGGATGTTATATTTATATTTCAATTAATCTCATTTAATTTAGCACCAAAAACCCAATTTCATAAATCACTAACAACTTGTAGAAAAATCTTTAGAGAAATTGTGAAGTGTCGCATTGTTCATAATTTCTAAAGGGAAAGCGTGTAAATAATAATTATTGCGAAAGTTAAAAACTATACCTTTAATTAGATATTACTGCGTATTATCATATCTTTTTTTGTACTTCCTATCAGATACAATAGATTTCACATCAAATTGTTGAGAACAATGCTCTACAAGTGCCTATTAAAAAAAAACGTGAATGTGTTGCAGTATATGAGTTTATCGAATGGAAAATTACATGAAATATATGGAAAAGCAAACTATCTAAAAATCAAAAAAACATTTTGATTTTTTGATTTTGATAATTAACTATGATTATTATGGAAGGTCTATTAAAGTAGCTACACATTTATTTTTCCCATTTTTTTACCACACGTTTGTTCGAAATGAAATACTGGATATAAATATCGTTTTTCTGCATTCCAGGGATCAAAAAAAAAATAGTATCGCCACGCCATCTATACAGAAAGATTTGAACTAACAGTTCTAACGGCAATTTGAAGCTATTCGAGGGATCTGACAACCCCAGCTTCCGGAATTAAAATAAATTTCTTAATTTTGGAGATATTGGCAGCGGGAGTGTTAAATGGCACACCCTGTATATAAACTGTGTTTAATAGATAAAAAAAATGCAGGAGGATAAGTCACATTTTATTCTATGTTCACATTATAAGAACAAGAAGGGCTAATAACGGCTCTTATTTATTTCAAAGAAGGTTCGGGCTTTATGAAATTCGTTATGTTTTTGTTATCATAAACAGTGTTATTGTAATTTGTGAAATGAAAATCAATCCAGGACTTGGCCTGAAAAGTAAAATTTTGTTGGCAGTAAAACGTGTTTTATTCTGGATAATTTACAATGCCATTTCTGACATCTGTTGAAATGTTCACCATTTATAATAGTAAAACATTTTTGTACACTTTTATGTTGTAGTTATGGAGAGGTACCAATCGTGTGCAGCTAGCGTGAACGCACCCTGTATATTACATTACATTACATTTTACATTAATAAAATGTTATCAACAAAGAAACAAAATACTTAAATATTTATTTGTTATTTATCCAAATCGAAAATATTACTGGATAACTTCAGCAATTTGTAATTTTCTCGAAAACAGTTTGATACGAAATTTATTTTAGTGTAACAAAATAGCAAGAAAAAATGTAATATTTTTTTTTGGGGTCTGGTAAAAGTGGACTGTTAACTTTACATACGTCAATTTATTTTAACTCATGCTTTGAGAAGTCAAGTACCTGTCTAAGTATTGTCAAATATATTCTGTAAACTTTGGTATTGTTCGAATTAGACCGGGAAATTTTAGGAAAATTTTAGTTACGTATTCTAAAAATATTTAAGACTATTCATTATGTGTGCCAATCCCAGTATTTTATTCTTGAAGTTTTTGGGACGATCACCTTATCCTGGAATTAGTCTCGAACAAAATTTAAATCTCTAATTTCAGTGGACTAATTAGCCAGAATCGAATAAAATTCATGTCTCGAAAAAAAATTAAATGTCTAATTTCAGTAGTTTAGTTATAGCCAGAATTGAACAAAATTCAACAAAACAAACATATGCGAGACAAATTAAGTATATTAAAAAAAAACAAAAATAATTATTGTCATTGAAAAATACTGTGCATATTTTATTATTGTTAATTTATTCAGAAGATCCCAAAATTGGGTTTTTTACTTTTGAGATTTCGGACACTGGATTTTATAAGGGATCCCGAGGTTGGTTGGTTTGGTTCTTATGTTTGTTTTTTTTTTAAAATACGATTAAATATATATTTAGAAACCTATTTAAAATCTTAATTATTAAGAGAAACACATATATTGGAACTACAGCAATTAGTATTTTTATGTTTCAAATCACTTGAGTAAGAATTCGTTAGTCCTAAAAAAAATATTTTTGGTACCCACTACACCAACTTTTGCACAAAAAAAAATCATGATAGGACATGATTTAGTTGTTTTCTTGAAAATGTTGGTTAAAAAAGCAACAAATGAAAACAACACAAAAAATTACATCAGAATGGTTTAATAACTTTTTCAGTCGGACTATAACAAGAAGTAACAACTGAATTTTCAAATAAACGAGTTTTATTTTTTTTAATAAAATTAAAGGAAGAGTAAGTAATTTTTTTTTCAGTGTAATACCATAAATTAATTTCTGTACTACGTCCGCATATGCTTTTCAGTATGTGCCCTGATATCCCTGTAGTGATAATTAAAGGTTCACCCTGTTCATAAGAGGTTGACACCAAGTGTGATTATGAATCATCATTTTTGTTTATCTGAATACTAAATAAGCGCAATCTAAATATAACTGTCATTTTTTAATTTAGAAATGGTTTTATTTTAGTTGTCAAAACTTAAAAATAACATTACGTTTTTTAAAAAATATAAGGATTTATTGGCCAAATTCTAATAACTTTCATGTGTATTCACTAAATTTAAAATTCTATATTGCGGGGCTTGAATTGAGATTAACTCAAATGAAATAACCTTGTCTTGATTTCCAGGTGACCTTATAGGGCTAAGCTATCCCCGAATTCAGATTCAGCGACCTCAAAAGCATACATACTTACAGGTTAATATGGCCTTTTCTTTACTTTGATCTTGAAAGGATCTTGACTTGATCGAAATGTGACCTTGTGGGGCTAAGCTATCCCCGAATTCAGTTCCCCCCAAAAATAAACTTATATACGCTCTGGTTGAAATTGAATACAAGCCTTTTCTTTAGTTTGATCTTGAAATGACCTTGATTTGACTTGAAGGTGACCTTTAGGGTTACGCTATCTCCAGATTCAGATTCTGTGAGCCCAAAAACACCTATACACTCACTGGTCAAAATTCAATATAAGTCTTTTCTTCAGCTTGACCTTGGGGCGACCTTTACCTGACCTCCAGGTGACCTTAGATATCTAAGCTATTTCTGAATTCAGGTTCAGCGATCCCAAAAGCATTGTACCTACTGGTCAAAATTCATTACATGCCTCAGTTGTTAAATCCATCAACTTACAACTTCGTGAAGCTTACTCAGGCCTACAGCCAAAATCACATATTTCCCCCCTCTTTATCTCTGAAACTATTCATAGGATCATTTTGGGCCCATGACAACTTTTGTTCAGAAAGTCAAAAACTAAAACATACCTACTGCAATTTCAGCAGAATCGACTGGGACCCATGTTCCATTGATTTAGTGCGGGGTTCTTTGTACCAATTTAATCCTTAATTTAAGGATTATTAATACATTTTGGGGTAAATTAGAATTCTTGTTTGTATATCAATTTTTTTGAGAAATTAATTTATATATTTTTTCTAGGTGCGAGAGGCAGCGCAGGGATGCGCCAGGATACGCGGCGACACACTCGGTATCGTCGGTCTCGGCAGGATCGGATCGGCGGTGGCCCTGAGGGCGAAAGCCTTCGGTTTCAACGTCATCTTCTACGACCCCTACCTGCCCGACGGCATCGAGAAAAGCTTAGGATTGACGCGGGTGTATACCCTGCAGGACCTACTCTTCCAGTCGGACTGCGTATCGTTGCACTGTACCCTCAACGAACACAACCACCATCTCATTAACGAGTTCACCATTAAGCAGATGAGGCCGGGTGCCTTTTTAGTGAACACAGGTACGTGCGCCAATTTTTCCATGAACATGTTTATAATAATGACACACCTTTTTTGAACATTTTCCGATGTCCTGCTAAACTGTAGGCACCACCTTCATTTTCAATATGTCTAGCAAAGTCTTTTAAATGTATGCAGGGTGTCTGCGAAAGGTTAGGAAACTCGAAGCTGGAGATACTGGTGGTCAAAATAATACACCAGGAAAATTAGCGAAAATAAAAGAGAAACTCGAAAAAAGTCCTATCCGCGAGATTATAGAGAGTAAAATTATCTACAAAATGAGACTTGTTAACTCAAAATCGGTTAATAAACAAAAAAGTTATTTCAAAAAGACAAGAAAAGTGCCCATTTTTTAATTTGTTTATAACTATCGCATTTATTGTTAAAATTTTATAAAACCTATGACAAGTTGAGGGTTTTGTCATACTTTAAAAGTGTGCCAAAAGTGGGCGCTGTAGGTGCAATAGTTTTCGCACAATTCTATTTGTTTATAGCGGAGGCTCCAAAAGTTATGAACTTTAAGCCTCTGTACAGGCGTTAATTTTCAACCAAACATGATTCTGAAAGCGTCATTGTAATCTTAAAGACGTAATTAAGCGACCTATTAAAAAATATCACCGTTTTTTTGACATTAACATTCTCAAATTGTGCATTAAAAAACCGTGCGTTTTTCGCTTATAAACAATTTGAATAACATTGTTGCTATTTATGCTATCTCACCGAAAATAGATGCAATGGATAGCTGGCAAAAAAATACAGTTTTAAAATAAAAAAAGTACCCTGTACGACCAACAGGAGCCAAGATAAGAAATTTTTTTTAAATCGTAGCGCAATTGTTTATAAATATTAAGGTTGAATAATTTCCGGGCTGGTTGCCACGTCGTTGGTTTATAACAGTTGACGTTTCGAGTGACATATCGCTCTCTTCTTCAGAAGTTACTCTGAAACTGGAGATCTACTAGTCCTGTCACTATTTATATTTGATGTGGTCACTGGTCCATGATGTTCCGGTGGGTGACCTCGTACGCGTTGTTGACGTTTCAGTGGGTTGCTTTCACGGATGACTCTCTTCCATATACCTGGCAGATCTACGCTACCATCCCTGTTGAAATTGTTCGGATTTCTGCAAATTTCTAGAGCTTCTCTGTATAGTCGGGGCCAAAATCTTCTCTCTCTCACTACCATGTTGGCTTCACTTAGATCCACTGCGTGTCCCGTGTCTGCCCTATGCTTTGCTACTGCCGATTTTTCCTAGTTGTTATTTTTGAGGTGACTTGTGTTCATTTAACCTCGTGTTGATGTGCCTTCCTGTTTGTCTTATGTAGACCTTTCCACAAGAGCAAGGAATACTGTACACACCAGGGCCCTGAAGCTGGTCGTTGTTGCAGGTCTTTGGAAACGCTGCCGCCACCTTCCTTACAGTGCTGAATACTGTGTTGATATTCCGTGGGGCCAGATGATCTGGCCCCACGGACGCAACACCGTAGGGGAATTCCTGAATCACATTAATGAGTTAAATCCAGATATCCAGTTTACCATGGAAATAGAGAAAAATGCCACTCTTCCCTTCTTGGATGTTTTGGTTGAGAGGAAACCAGATGGCACTTTAGGACATCGAGTATATAAGAAGCCAACTCACACACACATGTATTTGAATGCGGAGTCCCACCACCACCCAGCCCAAAAACAGGGGATCATAAATACCTTGATTCATCGAGCGCGGATCATCAGCGAGCCAAGACACTTGACCGAAGAACTAGAACACAAGTTTAAATTGATGCGCGCTGTAAATTTTGCAATATCTCGACTTCTATTCATCGTAGAAACTGGGGTAGCTCGACGAAAACATAACAATGGGCATATTTACGAATTTGTAGAATAGCCCAGAACCCCAGAAAAAATGCATCTTTTATACTTAAATTTTTTTAATTTACAAAAATGTCACAAAAATTATTGTTAAACGAAATATTTATTAAAATTTCAATTTCGGAATTATTTTATTATTATTAAATAAATAAATGAAGCAATCGTTCATTTAAAAAGTTATTTTTTTTACATATAAGGCAAAGTAAACTTGTTTTTTCAATATTTTGTTACCTATTTAATTACGATGTAAAATTAAAGTGAAAATTCATAAATTATTTTCAAATTATTATTTCTCATAAAAATAGAAAAAAAATTAAATGTTAAATTGTATTATATTGCATTATATCTATTATTGAAAATGGTTGTGATTAATATTTTCTTAATTAATTTTGATTATGTTTTTTTTGTATAAAATTAGTAATAAATACTTTATATATTAAAATTTCAACTACAGCGCCCACTTTTGGCACACTTTTGAAGTATGACAAAACCCTCAACTTGTCATAGGTTTTATAAAATTTTAACAATAAATGCGATAATTATAAACAAATTAAAAAATGGTCACTTTTCTTGTTTTTTTGCAATAACTTATTTGTTTATTAACCGATTTTAATTTAACAAGTCTCATTTTGTCCCTAGATAATTTTAACCCCTACTAGCTGTCTGTGAGTCACTTTTTGCTAAAATTGATGGTTTTCTCTGCAAAGTGAAAAAACTTTTCCTCACTTATTTGTTTAAATAGAAAAGTTAGCTAATAAAAGTTTTTGACTCACGAGATGAGAGATGTCTTGTATTATGTTCCTTTAGACAATTTTACAATAATCTCGCGGATAGGACTTTTTTCGAGTAAAAATTTGCTTGGTCTATAAGTCGATTGAGCCAAATATGCCTTATGCAAGTGTTACTGGTTTCAAAGATACAAGGCGTCAATGTTTGAATTTTATTTTGAAATTTCTCAGTAATTTTGGAAACTCTCAGAGGCACTTTTTTGACATGACAATAAGAATTTTTGAAACTAATTTTGGCGTTGCTTGTATAGGGCGTCAGTTATGCCCTATTCTATTGATAAATAGGGACAAAAATTTTTTGCCTTTAAAATTACGGATATTGTGTATTGAAAATATACAATATGGTCCTTCCTTTCATAAAAAAATTACTCTTGTTCGTTTTCACTATCTCCCTGGGTTATCGAGATATGTGCATATACAAATTTCAATGCATTTCGTTTTTAATCAACTTTTAATTATTAAATTAAACCAATGCGACTTGACAACTAGTGTATGAAAAAAATTATTTACAGTTTAAACAAACCGTTTAAAGAGACAATAACAAACAAAATAGAAAAAATTGGAAATTTAAGAAATATCTACTTTAAAAAAACATAACATAAAACACACCATAGAAATGAGACAACCCCCAAATCCAAAGCCAAAGGCTGTGCGGAAGAGGGCTATACTTAAAAAAACGCGGACAAACACCCATTATCCATCGACATTGCCAGTGCCTATGCCAGGGATCGAACCCGGTCCAGAATAGGAAGTCTGGCCGAGAAATGCTATACTATTATAGGACTACTACTACTACTACTAGGACTACTTAGGACTAAAAATTACTAAATTACTATTAAAATTGTTCAAAATGAGCGCCGCCTTGCTTAATACACGAGCACATCTAACTAGTGGTGGCTGTACTCTCCAAATCATTTGAATTATTTTTTATTTCCTGGCTATGGTGGAAAATCCTTTGCCGTAGTTCACAGGAGTTGCATAACACATCTTTTCAAATCACCCTAGAAGTAGAAATCCAAAGGATTTAAATCTGGTGATCTAGGCGGCCAGGACATCAGAAATAAAAAATAATAGGTACCTATTCAAATGATTTGACCAATTTTTACTTCGCCTTTAGGTCGCATGAGTTTAATTTAAGGATTAAAAGTTGCATAAAAAACGAAATGCATTGAAATTTGTATACAGGGTGGTCCGAATTTTATGCAGGAAACTTCGATGGCAGATAGATCTCATTAAAATAATATGTGTTTGCCTTATAAACATAGGTCTGGAGCGGCCTCGTTTTAGAGATACAGGGTGTTGAAGTTGTTAAAAAAAATTAATTTTTTGTTTATATTTCCGGAATCTATTAACCGATCTCAATAAAATTTGGTACAGATAATGTATGACAGTAGGCCTTGCATTCCCTAAAATATGAGCTCTAAAGGATCGACCAGTGGTGTACAACTGGACCGGGTCACCCCCTTTTTGATAAGAAAAACCTACGCCACTGTATTTTTTACAAGCTATTGTAATGGATTTATATTCTAATGTACAAAATACGTAAAAAAGATAACTTGAATTTTTTTCCTAGAGTTCACCGTTCTCAAGTTATTCATACCAATACAACTTCCTTGTGGCAGATACTTCTAACCATAATATTACAAAAATATTTATGTTTATGCATAAAAGTAAGTACAATTTGTAAGCACATCAATAAAATTCTTTACACTCGTCCCTTTCATCTTTTTGGATTAAAACGATATTTGGAAAATCACGACGGCGGCGGCGCAATGAAAGGCACAGAAATGAAATTTTAAGAACATTTGACGACGATCCTCGGCTACGTACACGAAGAACGTCTCGGCAACTTGGGGTGAGAAATCGAAAATTTGAAAAGTTCTACATAAGGATGGTAGAAATCCCTACCATTTACAACCTGTGCAAAATTTACTTCCGGGAAATGTAGACACCTGAATTTTTGTTAGTGGTTATTTTAAAGTCTCAACATAATCTAGAATTCTTACTAGAAATACTTTGGACCGATGAGGCTACGTTCACAAGGCGAGGGGTAGTGAATTTTCAAAATATTTGGTTACAAGAAAATCCTCATAAAATTCGGACAAGATCTTTTCAACGCGAATTTTCTGTGAAAGTGTGGTTCGGAATAATTCGGACCTTTCTTCTTGTCATCCCATCTAAATTCCCAGTCATTTCTAAACTTTCTAAAAAACCATCTATTTAAATTATTAGAGGATGTTCCATTAAATATACCACAAAATAGCTGGATACAAATGGATGGTGCTCCTGAGCATTTTAGGAGAATAATACAAGAGTGGCTTAAAAATTATAAGGGGCGATGGATAGGT